GGGACTTAAAGAAAACACTGAATAGCTGACTCTAAATAGCAAAGATGACAAAAAGCTGAATTCAGTTTGGTTATTGTTCATTAGGATTTTAGCCAGATATGGTCAAATTAGAAGCACTGAGGTCAAGGCTGATGCAGGAGTGTCAGCAAGCATGTAAAATCAGTGAGAGATGACTGAATAAATTACCAAGGTATCGAATTTTGGGTTAGTATTAAGGTTTTAAAACCTTTAAAACTGGTTCTGTTTATTCTACTCTTGGGAGTTTTCAGGGGTTCCCAAGATATCTCTCGAGTAGTTGTGTGGGATAAAGGGAGAGATTTTTAAGAACATATTTACTTTCCTATGCTAGAAGGAATCCTGAGTTTAAATATTCCAAAAACCCTGAGTCTTTCCTTAGCAAACCTCCTCCCCAAAACAGACTGTGTGTGGAAGATGAGTTTCTGTCAACATTTGATCTTGAAAAATCCATTCAAGAGGAGCCTTAGTTTAAATCCCATTCTGCCTGTGTTATCTGGGGTGCTGGTGAGACTTTTCCAGATCTTTTGCAGCCTCTGTGCTGGTTTTCCAGCTTCATTCAGTTTTTGCCCCAGTTAAGCCAAAGAGGAGCATTAACAGAGCTGGTCTTTCTCCCTCTGTTTCTCTCAGCATTGCAGTGTTTCTCTAGTAATATGTATGATGCTATTCTCATCATGCCAGGAACCAAATATTTCAATAAAATGTACTGAAAATGAAAACTCTTTTTATTGTCAGTGTAAAAATATGCTGAAGACATGCATGACTGAACAGGCAAATGTAACGAGCTACTGGGAACTTTAATATTGGAGATACATTGTATTGACTGACAGTAGTATAAATGGCAAACAGACCTCTGCAAACATTTACTGTCATTACTCGTCACTACTTAGATTCTGAAGAGAAAAGAAGCCAAGAACAGTGCTACAGAGCAGTAAGAAATCATTTTAAGTGTCTCCCAAGCTCTTTCCTTTGTCTAATAGGACAGCAGATATCTCCAGATCCCTTTCTAAACACTCTTCAAAGACAGCATGAACCAATCTGTATTAGAAAAGCCTCATTCTTGCTATAGATAGAGGGGAATTTTAATAGCAACATGACTATTATTCCATCTAAATCAATAGAGTGAGTTTCTGTCTTGTTAAAGAAAAAGTGACTGTGCCTGCTGGGGCAGTGGGGAGGGAGAGAGATGCATATTAGATTAAAACCTAAATCTATAGTAACACATAAGGATCTGAAAGTGAGATAGGCATATTTTAAAGTGCAATCCCCAAATTCCCTGTTTACCCTACCAGTCACCAAAAGTTTTATTGTAGGTTGTGTTGCAATGTTGTTTTGCCGGTCATCCAATGCACTCTTCCTTAGCCCCAACAGCAGCATCTTCTGTCTTGGCACTTGGGAACAACTGAATATTTAGCTCATGAGGAAAACATCTTTTGGGGACTTGCCTCAACAGGTGTCTTCTAATTTGTTAGAGGTATTCAGAATACACCTACTAGAAACTTCAAGTGTGAGGTGATCGCCTGAACCCCTGAATAGCTTTTGATCCCGATACAGTTAATGTCTGAGGAGAAGGAAAAGGCACCTTTTTAGTCTCTGGAAAATACATTTTAATTGATACATCATCCTCAGTTTCCTTTCTCTCATTTGAGCTTAACTTTAGAAGTCTCAAATTTCCACAAGAGACTGAAGGTTTTTCCAGAAGACTTAGATTTTTCATGATTAGCAGCTTCCTGAGAAGTGAGAGATGAGGATCTGAAGATCCAAACCAAGCAAGGAAGTGAAACCCATGTATCTGACATTCTACAGGGATATTTCAGTCACTGGTTCTTGTGTGAGAGAGTAGGTATCATTTTTGCAAGTCATCTTGCAAAAGAGATGGATTCCCCTGTTTTTATTATTACTATATTTATTTATATAAGATGTTAAAGTTGAGCTTAAGTTTCCAGCTCCTGGGTTTAGAGAGGTGAATCCTACAGCCCAGGCAAGTTACCTGAGGTACTGGTATACATTAAGGGCTAAGGTCCCTAAAATCAGGTGTTGTCAAGTCAAGCATTGCATTTGCACACTGTTGCTTTGTAGATAATTCCCAAGATTTCAAATAACTATTTGAAATCATAGAAGCAGAAGGAAAACAATTTAAATTCCACCTATCAGATCTTCCAGCCCAGGGCAGGGATATTCTGCAGTAGCTAGTGCAGTCTTCTGAAGTGCCACTTAAAAGAGGCTCCTTATTGGAGAAGCCAAAAGTGAGAAAGACTGCTGATCTTGTGAAATGATTTTTTTGTTAGAAAAGCCCACTTTGGGGGGGAGGGGGGGTTGAGGGGGAGGGTGGAGAGTTTCCTCCAACCATTACAACTCTGTCAGATGCAATATTATCCCGGTAATGATTGTTATGCCTAATAGTCATGGACAGCAACTTTATTCATCCTAGAAAGTACACAAAGGAAAGAAGCGCTGCAGTCTCCAAGCTACGAGGCTTCCTCTGTTAAATTTGCCATGGATGGTTGGATTCATCAGTTTGCATGCATCTTTGACTGATACATCATGCTGGATGCTTCAGGCAAACACACTCTAATTAGTAGAACAAATAGAAAACCCTGAGGATGCCCATGCTTAATGAAATTCCCCACATTCTAAACCATCTCTACGACAAATTACTCATTTCACAGCTGTAGGCAGTGCAAGTTAATTTATCTGTATCAGTTGCTAAGTTGAAGCATTCACTTTTAACAAGACACTCCATTACACCTTTCAAGGAAACTTTACTGCACTTCAGCTTTTGAACAAAATAGAAACTATAAGTAACAGGCCAGACAAATAAGGAACTGAAAAAGTAAGATATATAGAATCTGTTGAAAGTTTAGAATCAATAGATGCTGATGAATTAGTTACACATAAACACTCAAAAATCTGAAAAGGACTCTAAATGGTCTCCTTTGAGGAGTGTTGAGTTTGAACACAAAACTCTGGCTCAAAACAAAAGGTGGCTTGTGCAGAAGCCTGTGTGGTTCCTCTTGTGAATGCTTTAGTCAGGTAATTGCTTTTCAATCAATCTCAGCAAAAGAAATGAGAAGTCAAGTGTGGAGAATGGATCAAATTCCCAGGCATCTTGTACCAGTATGGCTACAGTTGTCTTATCCATTTCAGAGTTTGCTCCTCTTCACTGATAAATTTGGCTGAAGAACCTGGATTAAGCAAAGCTTGTTCTTAAAAAATGAATGAGATGATCATGGTCAAATGAGACATTACTGAATTGTAGTCACTTCATTACCCACTGAACGTGGGTCTTTGGAATCATACAACAAAATATTCAGCATAGCTATGCCAACTCAAAGCTTCAGTAGCAAAAGCAGTCTGAATATTGTTGCCTTAAAGATGATGGTTTGATTTGCCCTTGTACTGGTAGGGGAAGAATGAAGGGAGCAGGCTGAGTGGAGGCAGGTGACCTGGCATATTACACTGTAAAGTCAGGATTGCTCATTCTCCCTCACTGAGCAGGATGAGAGGAACAGAAAAAGCAACTTGTGCTGGAAAGGCTGCTTTTCCTCCCATAGTCAAACTCTTTCCTCATCAGTAAAAGTCTCTACAGTCAGCCTGGCTCTCCAAGTGCTCTGACAGAAGCAATGTAGATGGTACCCCAGCCACTGTTGCAGGTGCCCAAGCAGGCACGTGCTTAAGAATTGGATGTTACAACTCAGTGGTTTTGAGAGCTTGGCTGCCACCTCTTCACAGGCATGTGTAGAGACTGCTCCCTGTTTGGAATAAAAGGTAAAAATCTCACCCAAATGCTAGCACTATCTTTGCTGAATATTTATTTTGAGGCTGTGTTCTTTACAAACAAGTAGCATAGAGACCAAAATATAAATAATCTTACAGTAGCAAAGCTCTTGGCAAGTAACCTTTCGGGAAGTAAGTTTCACATTCTCACAGACACCTTAAAGAAACACCTCTATTTGTCACACAACATGAGGTTGTTGCCAATCAACTTCCAAAGGTAAGTTTGGAACCCAAAAATTTGCAAATCTGATACTAGCAAATGCCTTAGTAGGTTCTAGCAGGATTTCAAGCTGCTTGCTCTTTCTCATACTTTCTTGGAAGTTGTGGTTAACTGTGATTGTATTAATGAGTCTGCTACAGTCCACTCCTGGAGAAAGTGGTTAGAAAGGGGTTTGTGCCCTCTTGTACATCTGGCATCCTGAAAGTATTCAGGTCCTGCTTGAAGACCTTTCTGACTTTTTCCTCCACTTACAAAGCAGTGGAGGGAAGGAGAGAGAGAAGATCAGCATTTTGGGATTAAAACCCTGCGGTTAGCGACCACAGAGGTCTAGGTTCACTTTTTCTTTTTACCACTGGTGTAATCTTCTTTTGTGGATTTAGATAAGCCTTTCAGTGTCATTGCGCCTCAGTGTGCCCTGTGTAAAAGCAAAATAATGAGCCCTGCTCCCTCCTTGCTTTCTCCTGTTTGCATCTGCTTGGGTTTTTCCGGGTGTTGGAGCAGACCTCCCACATTCACTGAGGTGAACTGTGTTCACAGCTGTTGTGAGTGCACTCACATAGGCTGCATCTCGGGTGTGCACAGCTGCAGGCTGATGTAGAAATGAATCTCATGTTTCTGGCGCATCCAACCTCCCCATCTTTCCTCCGTGGTACCCGAGAAGCTGCAGCCGATGCTCCTCGCTTGCCAGGCGTGCAGCGAGCAAGCGGCTGTCTTGGTCCATCTGCGCTCATTTAGTTGGTAATGTTTATCATGTCTGCTGGTTTGGAGAAAGATGGGGGTGTGGAGGAGTGTCGGGAAATTCTTTGAGCCTTGTTATCCCTACAGTAACTATAGACTTTGGCAGGAATGCGGGTGATTAATTTCAGGTCTGCGGGCTCAGCCCGAGCGGCAGCAGCTCCGCTCTGGGTGCCTGGGAGACAGCAGCGTCCCCTGCTCCGCTCTTCCACCAAACCCTGTGAATTCCCTCGGCTAAGTAAACACCACCGAGCTGCTAATCACACGCTCTGAAACAAAACAGCACTTCACTTCGGGATCTGGGCAAGATCAGACTTCCCTCCCCTCCTTTCCCCTCCCCTCCCTCTCTGCCCCCTCCCTGCTTTTCCCCTCCCTCTCCCCGGCAGCCGCCGAGCCGGTCCCTCCGATCCGACCTGGCAGGCTCACGCCGGGGGCCGCTGCCGGCTGGGGCTGCCCGAGACCGCGCTGCCCTCCCTGCCTTGTCCTGCCCTGCCCTGCCCTGCCTTGTTCCTGCCCTGTCTTGTCTGTCCTGCCGCCTCCCGGCCCGGCTCCCACCCTGCCCCGCTCCCGGGCACCGCCGCCCCGGCGATAAAAAGTTGCTCCGAGGATGGGAGCGCATCTGCAGCCGCTGGCCCTGCGGCTCCTGGCGCTGACTTTCCCCTTGGTGGCGAAGGGTTTTTCCGACGAAACCTTGGAGAAAGCCGCGAAATCCGAGGGATATTGCAGTCGGATCCTGCGAGCCCAAGGCACCAGGAGGGAAGGGTACAATGAATTCAGCCTCAGGGTGGAGGGCGATCCAGAATTTTACAAGCCTGGAAACAGTTACCGGGGTAAGTTGGACATCCTCTACATCCCGTGCTAACGACGATGGCCAGGATGAGTGACTCTGAAACTGTAACGTGTCTCTGCCTGTCATCTCTGGATCCCTCTTGGCATGTGTGTGTGTGACTGTGTGGGTTAAGACTGGGTAATATACTCCTACGCATTACTTTATTGGGGATGCTTTCATGACAAGTGAGAGGGAGTTGGATTTCAGTGTATCACTTTACTCCCAAACATCCCTCATTAAGAGGAATTTCCTTCCCTTTATGAACCCTCTCTGCCGGCTCAGCGCTAGCACAAGATCACAAGTTGCCGTGATACAAACGGCACTCTTCCCCCGTTTACCTACTTCTGTGGGATTTCTTCCCATCCCTTCAAAAGTAACACAGTGTACAGGAGAAGCTTTAGCATTGGGAAGGAAGAAGAAGAAACTCGGAGCTAATTGCTCTTGCCCTGAAATATGAATGTTAATATAATGAGTTAGCATATGGGCAAACAGTGATGCAGCATGCTGCCAACTTCCCACATTTTCCACTTGCGTTTATCCCACCCCCTTTTTCTTCTGGGTAAATGAACAGATGGTTCAAACAGGAAAGAGCCAGAGACAGTGCTAATGACCACTGTAAATAAGAGATGGAGGCATTCGTTCTTCCTTGAGCATGTCACATACAATCTTTGAAATGAAGTCCAAAGCACATTTCAGTGTATTTTTCTAATTAATAGGCAAAGGCAGGTTTTGTTCACTTTTTCTGCCTCACTATATAATGCCTTTAGAAATAAACCTTCTTGGAATGTACTGTTAACCTTCTATTTTAAAAGCACTTTAAAAAGAATTGGGACATTTTAAAGTTCCATAACTAATGTACTTTGTAGGCATGACTTTGGAAAAAAAATTTTGAGAGATTATTCCAAGTGTTTCTTCTGACCTTTCTTAGGTTCAGGATAAACAGCAATGTTTTCTAATTGCACAAACATGGAAATCTTAGTATAGATAGGGAGAAAAAAGTGTGCACGTAACATAATCATTGTGTTTTCTCAGAGGTTGAAAAACACATCTGCAGCAGTGATTTACCTGTTTCGAACACTAGTCTGTAACTATGCATGATTTTACTTGATTTTTTCCTGAAAAAATGTTTTATTTTAAAGTGGTGTGAGGAAATGCACATTTCCCACAAGTTGGTTAGCTGTTCCAGACATTAGGATTAGTACCTTGAGTCTGAAAGATTTCATGTTGCATGTCAGTTTGATACATCTGCTAAGCAGGATAAAGATGTGTCAAGTTCTTTGATAGTGACAAATGTGAATGTTCTTTAAAAGTTTTGGAATTCACTTCTGTAAAAGCATTGCTGGGTATTTTCAGTCATCTACAAAGAAGTTTCTATTGCATGGAGATGTAGGAAGAAAGAAATTCCCAGATGAATTAGCAGAACTAATTTTTGGGAGATATTAGGTCTTGACATAAGGAACTCAATTAATAAAATCACATTAGGACATTATAGCTTCTTGGAAGAGAGAAAATTACAGCTAATAGAAAAAAGTTAAAATGTAGAACGAAATATGTGCCTACATTTCTGATACTTCAGACTGAAGTATTCAGGTGGTACATTAGCCTGTGAAGATTGTGATTTAAGGATACTTCCTGAATGGTTGGAAGAACATAAGTAAATGTTACTGAAACATATACATTATCTATGGCAGTAGTTAAAACTAACAGCATGCAGAAAGTTTTAAGAGCTCATTTTCAAAGGAACTTCTGCAGTACAACTGGAATTTTATTACTGTTTTATACAAAGGGTAGAAAATCCAACTAATGATTCAAACAATTAGATATTATGATAGGTCTGCATTTTTTTTTCAGCTGCAAATTACTATATATGCAACATGGCAAAAGACTTGCACAACCTCCTTTGCCTTGGAGCCAAATATGCCTTGTTTCCATGGCCCCTGCTTGATTTAATGCAGTCTTGATCCTTGGCACATTCCCTAGTGGGCTCTTGGAATAAACTAGTATTTTCAAGGTGGATAACATAGGAATTAACTGTACATACAAATGCTGTACTCCCCAAAGTGTGACAGTAGAGGGTCATCCATTTATCTTCGTGATGGTCTCACTCATGGGTTGATGTGACACTTGTGTAAGACCCTCCGGCTGCAGTGGCTGGAGGAAATATCTCAGTGCTCTTGCAGTGTGGGAATCAGACCAGAGTTCACAGCTGCCATTTGTCTTTGGGGAAGTTTTTATGGCTCTCCTGCAGTTATTCACCTTTAGATCAATCAGAACCTGTTTGCCCCAAGGGGAAATCCTGAGTGTATCTGTGTGTATGGATCTGTGAAGCCTTGGTTTTCCACCTCTGGAGCTGTGACAGAGAACAGTGGCCCTGAGCACTGAATAACCCCTCTGAGTGGGTATGCACCTCCCCTGGTCTGCACACACTGGCAGCAGTAAATAAGGGCACATTCTCCTGTCTCAGATGATTAAAAGCGAGATAGCAGCAGGGCTGAGGAGCCATCCTCCTTTCCTCCCTCTTGTCTAACAAAGCAACAATGGCTATGGTCTTTGTGCTGTCTCACAGGGGAAGTGGCACGACTGATTTCTGACACCTTATTTGGGACTTCTGATGCTGTAGCCTGCAAGTGGCCTTATCTGCCTGGTCATTCAGGCTGCGAGGTTGTTGTCTCTCCCCTTGTGAAGGCAGCCAAATGCATTTTGGTGGGCAAATCTTCCTGTAGTCCCAGGTTTATGGGCACACCATCCTGGGGTCAAGGTCCTCTCCTACCTGCTGGTTAACTTTGACCTTGATGTAGATGCTCTTGCTTCTGCTGAAGGTTAAAGTTCCCATTGCACTCAAAGGCACAAGTGAGCCTTAAGTTTAGGTAGTGTTACAGGGTAATGACCCTTGAAAATACTAACTCTTAGCTTTATTGATTGTTGAGTTAGATCAATGATTGCATGAGGTTTCCATGAAAAGGTGAGGCAAGTTTAATCCTATTAAAATACAAAGACAGTACGGGCATTTCACATGCTAACATGCAGTGGACATACTTTGCACTATAGTATCACGAAGTTGTTATTTTGAAGAAAAAAAGGGCGATTTGACCAGTTGTAATCTGTAGACATACCTTCTGTGTGGATGCTGTTTCTCTTTTTAATGGAATTTCCACTTGTAGGTCAGTTCACTTTCTCAGTCTTTGAGGAAAGGCTCTTTTAATGTGCTCTTTTGAAACTTCGTTGTGTTGGTTTGGGGTCTTCTCTTCTAAGGAATGTTGAGACTTTTTCTTTCCATTTCTTTCTGCCACTCAACAAGCAAATACTTCTCTATACTTTACAAATAAGCACTCATGCTGTAACTCTTTTAGCCATTCTCATCTTTCACAAAATATGGATAAAAGTAGATATTGAAAGTGTATTTGTTGGTACTTGTGCAATGTACGGCACAGGATGTGCAGTAGTGTAGGATGTGGGAAGTCAGATTTCCTGCCTGAAACCAAAGGAGCAATTGCTTTGATCACCCCACCTTTAACTTGGGACACTGGGGAAAGAGGAGCATGTGGAAGGTATGTGCCAAAGTGCAACTTGTAAGGTAATTAGATATTTGCTGGAGGGGATGGAAGCAGACAAAAGTAACTGCTGATATGTAATCTTCCCTTTAAAGTAAAATCCTTAACTTTGAGATTGCACTGATCTTAACTGATCTTTACAGGAAGTTCATATTGTTCAGTGAACATTAATTAGTGTGAACACAGTGTGAGCAGTACTCAGCTGTTGTTTAAAATGGCAGAGTTTAGCCCAAGAAGGAGAACTCTCAGCTCTTTTGCAACAAAGAGCCGCTCTCTTGTGAAAACCAGATGTGGTCTGACAGCTTCCCACAGCTGCCTGTGCAGTGCGAGCCTCTGCTGTGCTGAGATACTGAGGCCAGAGCCAGTGACTACAGAACCATCACCAGATCAAGACTCTACATTAGGAGTGCTTGGAATAAACCCCTGTGCTGTGATGTTCTCAGCACACTGCTAGTTCAGACAATTCACAGAAACCTTTTCAGCTCAGGTGTTGACCTGTGTTCTGGCCTAACTCAGGGGTGACCAAAGCACACATCCCTCTTGGTATCCTTGAGCTGAGGTTGCACAGACACTAAAATCCCATGAGTCTGCTCTGCTCCTGGGGGTCTTTACCCTCCTGGCTCCTCACTTGTGTCTGTGTGTCCCCAGCCCTGGTAGAAGAGCTCCCAGGCCTGCAGAGCGGCTGCTCAGGGGCTGGACCCAGCTGAACTCTCCAGTTGGGGTTGGCTTGTTTTACTGCTCAGCTGGATGTGTTCCCTAGTCCAGCTGAGAGCACAGCTGCCTGGATGTGGCTGCTGTGTGAGCAGTGCAGGCTGGGGAGGGTGGGATCACTCATGTTGGAGGAAGCATGGATTTATTCTGTGTTTAAATGACTGCAACCACAGCATGAGTATTACTAACCCCAGGCATACAAAAACTATGAGTCAGGCTTTGGAATTACCTTCCTTTTTTTTTTTTTTATTTCTCTTTTGGTGCTTCTGTTGGATTTCAGATGTCCTCTGTTTTATAGATACGTTTGTTTAGAATATTTAGAATTTTGAAAACTGTTTGGTTTGATCTGTAAACTTGTGAGGAAAACTGTTGAGTCAGTTCACAGCTGGATTTTCTGTTTACTTGCTTATGTATTTAAGTATTTCTGGTGTCACTTTTTACTCATAGTGATTCAGACTTTTGAATTGCAAATGGTATGGAAAGATTTGTTGCATGTACAAGACTTTTATGGTAGTTAATTTCTAAGAATTAGTGTTCAAGCAAGAGTAATATGTTTGCCCTTGTTGGGTTTAGCCGTGTGCTGTTCTCAGTTACTGCAACTGAGAGGCTGGCTGTGGGTTTTCATTTGGATAGAGCTGCAGAAGTTTGCAAAATTAGACTAATCATACAAAATGAATTAATGAATTGGAGAAATATTTAGGAAAGTAAGCAGAAATTTTAATGATGGAATGCTCCTACTCAGTTTCTGTATATAAAATGTGAAATTTTCTTTCTCCCTCAAAATTATAATGTTTAACCTTATAATAAAATTCCATGGAATGAAAACTGTGTTGAAAATCCTGAGAGCTGGGGATTATGTCAATCACTACTTGGAATTTGTATTGGTGTTTTCAGGTCTACAGGTCTAAGCATGGCACTCTCAAAAGGTTAAAAATTGAAATGAGTCTCTCCAATCCTTTTTTCTCCACATGTAGCCAGAAAAGTTGTGTGTTTGTACAGCACATCGTGATTTTTAGACCCAAATACAGCTGCATAATGCTAGAAATTTTCAAATAGCCTATTTTATATTTTTCCTCTACTGAATTTCTAGATCAAAGCTCTCTCGCTGTGTTCCAAATGAACTCTGGGCATATTTTGAAATACATATATTTTGAGGGCTACCTATCATTTTAGCAAGGTGATTCATCCCTTCATGGCCTATCTGTGTGAGAGGGAGTCTATTCTGGATAATCTTCACTGAAGCAGCACTGGTGGTTGCGGTTTGCTCATGAAAACTGTGTGTGGTCTTCAGTTTTAATTGTGCCAGTCAGAGTTGGAGAGTGTGACAATAATGTACCACCAGCAAAGCTGTCTTCAATATGCTTAAAGTAAAAGCTGCTTAAAAGTATTCATAGTTCAATTTTCTATCTCTTTTCCTTTCATTCAAAAAAGAATTTTCCCCTAAAATTTACCCCTGCTTCAGAAGAGGATTCTCATAAGTTGCTGAAAAGTGTTTAGCAATTTCAGAAGTCCTGCCTCAAAGCTCTGCCTCATTATGTCTTTCTGAAAGTGTTCAAAAGAGCCTCAGCTGACATAACTCAAGTGTTGCTGGGTGATGCTTGGGCTGACGATGGCAAACAGAAAAATTGTACAAAGGTATCTTGCACTAGCAGAAATGAGGGATTTAATCCTGATGCTCAGCATGATAAAATCAGATTTGTCAGCATGATGTTATCTGTTCTCTCCTGGTGGATCTAATGCTGCCTTCCTGGTCAGGACAAGTGAATGAAGAGTGTGTTTGCTGATGAGTGGGGTGGTTTGGGAAACAGAGCTGGCAGCACAATCTTTACAGGTCAGTTTTAGCCATGAGTTTAACTTTGTATCCTGTTTTGCCCTGAGGATAAAGCGAAAGGAGAGTTAAGATCTCCCATTTCCACCAGCTGGAGTGCTATGCTGAGTGTAGCTGAGCTGAAGTGGGCAATGTGGTCATCTCCCATTACAGTTAGAGAGACTTTCTGTGTACTAAAATCCCTGGATCCTTGTCTGTGCTCAGAGCAGGGCAAAAGCTGAATGCAAATATTTAGGAAATGCTCCCTCACATTTAAAACAACAAAAAAACCCCCTAACATGTGTGTCCCCACCCCCAAACCAACAATGAAATAACCCTCTGTAGATCTGAGCAGATTATCAATCTGCTTTTAAAAACAAAAGAGCTGGAGTTATTTCACATCATGCCAGTGTTTTTCAGTTTACGTGGAAACTTGGACTGAACATTTTGTGTTCTGGTTGGCTTGGCTCTGTGTTGTTAGTGAGCTAGCTTTGATTAATACCAGCTTAAAACACACACCTTTCAAGCTGTGAAATGATGTGCAAGTGGCTGATTTCACAATTAATATTATGTTTTTGTTATTTCTCTGTTCATTGTATCTCAGTGACGCTTTCTGCTGCCACCCCTGCTTACTTTCGAGGGTTCACACTGATCGCCCTCAAGGAAGGAAAAGAAGGTGACAAAGAGGAAGACCATGCAGGAACTTTCCAGGTGAGAGAACTTTCCCTGACCTTTTCCTTACTGTGTGCTTGGCTCAAAGGGAGGTTTTACATGCACAGCAGAATGCAGACTATGCTAAAGTAAGCAAAAATATTTGTGGATGTTGACATGAGAACAACATAGCATGTTTTATATTCCATGCAACCTGTTCAAGGGATCAAAGTACCTTGACTTCAGCTTGCCTTTCCACATTCTTGCAGTTCAAAATGAGCGTCAGTTGTTTGAACTGGAGCCTAGGACACCTGAAATTGTTATGCAAAGTGAATATGAGAGTTGTTCTATTCACATTTTGCTTTTTGTATTTCTTTGCCTTGATATTTTTGTCCATTGAGGTTTAGACTGTGACTCTGAGAAGTGTTTGCTGCAGCTCTAAAGACTGTTTTTATCAGTTATAAATTAGATTGTGCTGTTTTATTTGTGCTTGGTAGTACTTTACTTAATGAGCATATTCAGTAGGATGAAATGTTTACCATTATTAAAAGGATTAAAATCCAGAGTGAGGGTTCACAAAATGGTATTTTCAGCTACTTCATGAAGGGAATTCTGGAAATTGAGAATATACATCATGTTTATGAAAGAAGGTAGAAATTATGGAGGTAAGTTTGATTCTCAGATGAGATATTATCTGCTATTTAACTTTCCAAGCTTAGAAATATTGTTGAATGATATTGATTATAATTTACAGAATATGTATTGATACTGATATTAATTTTAATAATGATTTCTAGATAGATTTCACTTGCTTCAGAGAAGCATTTCTAGATTTTCAAGGGAAATACTCAAAGGTTGTAATTTAGATGACCTACAAGGAGACAGAAATAACTTAACGTGTCTTGCCGAAGCTTCTTCTGTATTTTTATATATTTATATTTTTATATAAATATGGTGCACAAACTCAATAACTAATAGCCCTGTTTTCCTATTGAGTTTGCTTAGAGGCCTCTGTCCAGTTTTCATGCACTTTGTAAGAAAATCTAGAATAACTGAGAACTTAGTCGATGATGGAATAACTCCATCTTGCTCAAAATGAAATAATTTCCTAATAATATTTGGGAGAAATCTTCTTAATATGAACTTCTTAATAAAGTTGGGGTTTTTTAAGAACAAGAGAACATTGAAGGATCAGCTACTGTTTAGAAATAGAAATGGTGGTGCTTCATCTATTTTAAAAGAAACTTGTCACCATTAATTTTCTCATTTCAGTTGTTAATATCTCTATGGCTGATGGGGAAAAAAATTGTCCCGAGTTTTGCCTTTATGTCAAATTTGCAGTGAGACGCTCACTAAGCTTTGCTGAAGTACAGAGGAATTTTAAAGTTATCAGAGTGAGAAGCGAATGGAAATTCTACATAGATTGAAAAAAAAAAAAAGCCCCATGGATCTCAGTTGAGGGAAGGTTGTTTAATTAGCTTTATTGTATGGATTGCAATCTGAACTTGGTGTTCTAATTTTGCAGGTGGGAGTTTCAAAGTTTATGCATAACTAAATTTGTATATCTGTGGCACAAATAGTCCTTGCTGTGCTCATCCCACATTAGCACAATTAACTGAAGTTTATTCAGATGGTGTCTGCTCGTTCTGCCTTTGTGGATGCAAATGTAAGATTCTTAATTAAATATCCAAAGAATGCTTGCAGTCATAAATACTTAAGTCCTTTGTATCATGGCTAGGTGCTAGTAATTAGAAGAAAAAGATATTTAGTTCAAGGGTTTGCGCTGTATTTCTGTTATAAAGTGAAAATCCTAAGGATGGCTAGACAGCTGTGCAGAGTAGGGGAAAAACTGTGTGTCCAGTAACTTGCATGCCACTTGCAGTTATGTTTTTCCTGGGCTCAGATGGAGCATATGCTACTCAACGAGTTACCTAAGTGGAACAGAAAGCGGTGAAAACTCCTCAATAGTGACAAGAGGCTAAATGCTGCTTCTGGACTACAGATATAAGCCTCTGCCTCCATGAGGAGAAATAGATGCTGTTAAAATTGATGCCTAAAGAAAATTCAGGGAGGAAAAAAAACCTCTGAGGCAAATTAGTTTTGGAGGTGAGGTAAGGAAAGGGTTTTAATTTGTGCCTCTTAGGCAAAAGGTTACAAGATGTGTGCATATCCCCGTGTACAGATGGTACAATTTATAATACTGCTTGTCCAATCCCAGGTTTTGTCCACCCACTGACTCTTGCCCTGGACCACCCTCGACCCATCCCCACGGAATTGAGGCGAGGGTCTTTTTGGGACCCTTTCTTCATCAGTCATCCTCTTCTTCAGAGCACAAAGGGTACACGGTCACTCAGAGTTTGACTCTACTCTGCGGTTTAGGCTAAGATACAAGTGTTCTCCAAACAAAATAGGCCTACCTTGACAAGAGACTAAACATTTCTACTGGAATTCAGGGGGTAGAATTGATATGGGGAGCATGGAATGGGGTAATAGGGTTGGGGAATGTGTGTAGCTACTATGCTAAGGGTAAGGGAATAAAGGCTGCTCCTTCTAAATCTATTTGTACTATATAACTACTTATAAAGCCTATAAAAATTAGAAAAATCAAAAAACTAGATGGACCTTAAGGCATCAAATAATAGCCAAAACTAAGCACTTTACGAAGCAAGTGCTTCATTCACATTAGAAAATTTTTCAGCATAACCAAGATAGAATGAAAGTTGACCAAATAAAACATATACTTTCCCTCCATGACTTAGAGACTGTAAAACACCTGATTTTTCAAGCCTGTGAGTGCCAATTCCAAGTTATGAAGTATGATTTACAAAGTCTTTCATGGAGAGAACCTGAATCCACAGTATGTCCTGAGGGCAAGATCCCACCGGAGCAGCGGCTTCTGTTTTGCACAGCTATTGAGTGTTAAACTGGTCGGGGGTGTAGTGCCTCAAAGTACTGCAGAGGAGCGTGTGCTGGAGCAGCAAGGTGTTAAATGAAGACTAACACCTGAGGTTTTGGCACAGACATGGTAGGCTTAGGCTGGGAAAACATTACGGGGGTCACAGTCGAGCTGCAGCAGGTTGTGCTGCAGCCCGTTGCAAAGGCTGGACCTGCAGGGGCTCTGCTCTGCCTTTTACAACCTCCTCGTGGCTCATTTGCTCTTGGATGACTCTGCAAGTCAGCAGGTATGGTCAATCTTCATTAATCATCATGCTGCAGGGTCTTGATCCTATAAATACCACAGCTGTTAAAATTCTGGGTGGGACAGGTTTCTGTACCATTTTTGGTTAACTCAATACTTGCCATCAAGTAGAGACATTTAGAGAAGTGTAGCTTGGACTCCGCCATTCTAAATTTATTTTCCTCTGAGACAATTGAGGCTTTAAAATCTGATTTTACTCATGTTTGTTTATTTAATGCAGCCAAACTTCTTTTTTTGTGTCCTTGTAGTACACACAGGGCACAATTCAGCTTTAAAATAAATCACATTGTCTCTCACAAACACTCAAACATATGTTAAATAGCTAAATTAAATATGGCTGGGGAATTCAAGATGCCAAATTCAGTCACAGAAGTTTGGGAATGTAATGAAACAGCTCTTACTTATGCCAGTGGTAATTGTACAACTCAGGGGTGCAGTGAGGCACTTTGAAAGCTTTGGGTATTGTGTCCCATTGACCTCTTTACACAAGCCATTCCCAACTATGGTCATGCAGGCCACTGATCCTTCTCTTTCCTAATGTTTAGCAACAGTCTGCAAATTGTTTCGAAGGCAAATTATACTCAAGGGCAACAATCAGACACTAATTGACTATACAACACTATCTATACAGGGCATTTTAATCAACATCTCTATGCAATGTAATAGATTCAGTCTGATAAATAATGTAGAATAATAGAGATTTAGTGCTGAACCTCATCTCATCTATCTTCCTTGTTCTCTGAGGAAGGATAAATATTCCAGGAAAATTCTTAGTGGATGTTCTGTGAATCTCTTCTGAAGTGTTCAACAACAACAACAACAAATTCATCTCTCCAAGTGGCTTGTTTAAACCCTTCAATAAATTATATTTTATAGAAAATTTAATGACAATGTTGTAGAGCCCTTACTAGCATCTAAACTGAGTCTTCACTAATAGTGGTTAAATTGCTCTCTTATGAGATTGTCTTCCTAAACTTAGAACTTCCTTGATATCTTATGAAGCAGGTATTCTGAAGTTTCCTTTAGTCTTCCTCCAATTCCACACACTCTTTATCTTTTCCTTATTAATAATTCTACATTTTCATTGTGGGGCATCTTCTTTCAATTGTGCTATTTCTGCAGTTAAGCTGAGATTTCAGTCTTATGTTCCTCAGAATTGTACACAGTAGTCAGTCTGGACCCTCAGCATAAAATCAGATGGAATTTGGATACAGTAATCCTTTGGAGTGCCATTGTCTTTAGGCAGAATCCTGTAAGTGTATGCAACTTGCCTTTATTGCAGGAGCATCTGAGTATTGCACAGGAGGTGCCTGATAAAAGTCCTAAATCCTTTCCTGTAGGTATTACTGCCTTTGTCCCGATTCCTTATTTTCTGTCTTTACGTTTTATTCCTATTAAGGGTAGAGTTTCATTCAATTTATCAAAGGAGTTCTGAACTACAATTCTGTCCTTCAAAATGCTGTTAATTCTCCCAAAAATTGGTGCTTTGTGAATATGCCTGATGGTTAAACACTCAATATGACATATTTTGTGAAAACATGACCTGCTTTTCTCATGTACAGTGGTAAACTGAGTCATGAAGACTCAAAATTAGACACCTTTTTGTCTTGCCTTGGCATAATCACTTGTTAGATCCTTATGCTATGTAAACTATGTTTGTGATAGTTTAGTGTTAAATGCCTTCATCATAGCAGTGTTCCTGGAGGTGTCCTTTGGACTTTTTTAGCTCTAGAATGAATCAAGAAATTCTTGGTTTAGGTGATTGAATTTAACGACCCACTGGTGCAAAACCAATGTAAGAACCTAAGCAGGTGCAGCAGTAGAAAGGGCGAGGGTTTCATTAAAGGTGTGGCTTTTATAA